GCAGGGAAGCAGGCCGGAGGTTTGCCAAGGCCTTGCAGGTATGCAACAGGGCCAGGGAGCTTAGTGATACGCAAGGGCTGAGGTCTTCAAAGAGCGGGAGATTCTGGTTTCTTCAGCAAAGTCATTCATCTTTCCGTGATGGGGAGGGCGGTGCGTTCCCTGGTGAGCGCCCAAGTCCCAAGTGCGTCTGCCAGCCAGGTTAGAACGTGCCTTCTTTACCCAGAATGAAGCAGTCGCGGTTAACAGAGCAGGACTCACATTTCTTACCATTCTGGCTGGGTCCCCAGCATTCTGTTTCTGCCCCTCTCAGAGCAACCTAGAGAGTCTTATTTGAAGGAATTGGCTTAGGTGATTGTAGGGGTTGGCAAGTCCAAAAGTGCAGGGGCAGATCTGCAGGCTGGGAGCTCGGGCGGGAGTTAACGCTGCCATCTTGAGGCAGAATGTCTTCCTGACACCTCAGTTTTTGCTGGGAAGGTGGTCCAAATGACTTGGATGAGACCCACGGCTATATGGAGAGCAGTCTCTCTCACTTACAGTCAACTGATTACAGATGTGACCCAACTCTACAGAATACCATCCCAGCAACACCTGGATCGGTATTTGTTAAATAATGGGATACAGGTAGCCTAGCCACATGGACACAGAACACTCACCATCACAGCTGCTTAGGCCAGGAAGGCAGAGGAATAATGTGGGAAAGAGTAAATGTGGTTTTCACATCTGGCAAGAAGATGGATACTAATGTTTATTTTACCACTTTACACATTCAGCTGTGAATTGTGGTTGCTGTGGTAACTGTCTCATCTCACCTTTGCCTAACCAGTTGTGTGGTGTGTGTGTGTGTTTAATTTAAATATATTTTTAGATCGAGAAGAAGGCATGAGGGAGAAACATCCATTTGTTCCACATATTGATGAATTCATTGGTTGATTCTTGTGTGTTCCCTGACCAGGGATAGAATCTGCACTGAACCTTGGCTTATCTGGATGATGCTCTAACCAACCGAGCTACTCAGCCATGGCCCTCACCAGTATTTGCCTGTCCTGCAGGGCTCAGTTCTGCCTTTGTGGTCCCTGGCCTCCTCAAGTTGGGCCAGACACACTCTGGATTTGCATGATACGGATGCAGATGTCTGCTTAGCCCCTATTGCATGCTAGTTCTGTTGCTGCTTTATCCACAAAACGTTAAGTCCCTTAAGGACCTCAACAGCGTCTTATTCCTTTTAGCACCCAATTTAGTTCTACTCAGGAAGCCTTAGTTAGTATTGAATGGAGTTCCTTACTACACTGTAAGTTTCTGGCCAGTGGAAACCTTGTTTTCTTCATCTCTTCATCTTCTGTGCTGCTAACTTGGTTTCCTTTTTGTTGTGTTAAATTTGTTTGAGATAGCACCAATTACAACCTTTTTTTTCCCATCCTTTAAGTTCCTCCCTGTGTTACTTGCCTTTCTTTTTCAGCTGTCCCTCCTGCTATGGGTATTCAAGGCCTGGCCAAGCTGATTGCTGATGTGGCCCCCAGTGCCATTCGGGAGAATGACATCAAGAGCTACTTTGGCCGCAAGGTGGCCATCGATGCCTCCATGAGCATTTACCAGTTCCTGATTGCTGTTCGCCAGGGTGGGGATGTGCTGCAGAATGAGGAGGGTGAGACCACCAGCCACCTGATGGGCATGTTCTACAGCACCATCCGCATGATAGAGAAAGGCATCAAGCCCGTGTATGTCTTTGACGGCAAGCCACCGCAGCTCAAGTCTGGTGAGCTGGCCAAGCGCAGTGAGCGGCGGGCTGAGGCGGAGAAGCAGCTGCATCAGGCTCAGGCTGCTGGGGCCGAGGGGGAGGTGGAGAAGTACACCAAGCGGCTGGTGAAGGTCACCAAGCAACACAACGATGAGTGCAAGCACCTACTGAGCCTCATGGGCATCCCGTACCTCGATGCCCCCAGTGAGGCGGAGGCCAGCTGTGCAGCCCTGGTGAAGGCTGGCAAAGTCTACGCTGCGGCCACAGAGGACATGGATTGTCTGACCTTCGGCACCCCTGTGCTCATGCGGCACCTGACGGCCAGCGAGGCCAAGAAGCTGCCCATCCAGGAATTTCACCTGAGCCGGATTCTCCAGGAGCTGGGCCTGAACCAGGAGCAGTTTGTGGACCTGTGCATCCTGCTGGGCAGCGACTACTGTGAGAGCATCCGGGGCATCGGGCCCAAGCGGGCCGTGGACCTCATCCAGAAGCACAAGAGCATCGAGGAGATTGTGCGTCGGCTCGACCCCAACAAGTACCCTGTGCCAGAAAACTGGCTCCACAAGGAGGCCCAGCAGCTGTTCCTGGAGCCAGAGGTGCTGGACCCAGCATCCGTGGAGCTGAAGTGGAGTGAGCCAAACGAAGAGGAGCTCGTCAAGTTCATGTGCGGCGAAAAGCAGTTCTCTGAGGAGCGCATCCGCAGCGCGGTCAAGCGGCTGAACAAGAGTCGCCAAGGCAGCACCCAGGGCCGCCTGGACGATTTCTTCAAGGTGACCGGCTCTCTGTCTTCAGCTAAGCGCAAGGAGCCAGAACCCAAGGGATCCGCCAAGAAGAAGGCAAAGACTGGGGCAGCAGGGAAGTTTAAAAGGGGGAAATAAATGCGTTTCCCTTCATTATACCTCCTTGACCCCAGAATATCTGCCTCGTACCCTCAAGAGCTAGTGCTAGAGAAACCTGCTCGGGGCAGGGAGGGGATTGGGTTGCATTGCTTCTCCAGGACTGCCCTTCTCAGTAGCGCTTTTCCCTTTTTTACTTGATCTTATGGCAGGACGGCCACAGAGGTACTTTTTTTCTATTTTAGCTCAGGAAAGTATGCCAGTCTCAAACCACCCTTCAGTCAACTTAATGAACATTGAGTCCAACTGTTACATAAAAGTGAGAGGAAGCCAAACAGTGGAGACAAAAGACTGTATGGAGATGACTTCCTAGCTGGCCAGCTGTTAGCCCACAACGGTGGGACCAGACTGCACTTTTCTCTCTGGTTCAGCCTTGACCCACCCTGAGGATAGCCAGCAGGAGGATTCAGTCTGATCAGAGAGGAAGAGCTACTGGGAAATAAGGCAGGCGGAGAGCTGGAGTCCGAAACGTGTTGTCTCATTGGCTGTGTATCTTGGCTGGGCAGAAACTTGAACTTGCTTTGTAACTTGAATCTTCAGTTAGTCATTCAGAGGCATAAGGTGGCTTAGTTCTCATGGCCCCTCTGAGGCAGTCGACTGAGTTGAAACTTTGGGATAAGATGCTATTGTCATGTGCTAGTTTTTGTTTTAAATGTATGAGGGGAAAAAAGTCAATAAAAGTAGACAGAAAATAGTGTTCTTTTCATTCCTAACATAACATGCTGGAATAAGAAACCACCTATTAACAGGTGGTTTGAGCATGGCCACAAGATGGCGCTATGCCCCCATTGAATGGCTAAAGGAACTTGGGTGGTAGGTACTTGGGCCATTTGGAGGATACCAGTTTATCTCGCTAGAAACAGAGTTACCCGTTTTCCACCTACTATGTGAGATAAAGAAACTCTTTGAGAAAGACTCACAATTTAGTCAGGCATGGTGAACCTTTTTCTGCCAAGGGCCATTTGGATATTTGTAACATCATTTACAGACCATACAAAATTATCAACTTAAAAGTTAGCCATAGCCAGTTTGGCTCAGCGGATAGAGCATTGGCCTGTGGACCAAAAGGTTCCGGGTTTGATTTCGGTCAAGGGCATTTACCTTGGTTGCAGGCTCCTCTCCGGCCTGGGCCCTGGTCAGGGCCTCATGCAGGAGGCAGCCAATAGATGTGTTTCTCTCACGTCAATGTTTCTCCTTCCCTCTCTAAAAAAATCAATGGAAAAATACTCTCTGAGGATTAACAAAAATAGCCTTGTTATATTTTGTCAAACAATTAACTCACCCTTAATGCCTTGGCAGGATCAGATCAAATGACTTTGTGAGCTTATACAACCCTGGGCTGGATGTTCCCCACCGCTGATTAGATAGGCTGCTATTATAACATTTGAGCATTTACCACTTTGTAAGTTGTAAAAGCTGCCATTCAGACATCATTTCCTTGTTCCTTTTGTGACACCAGACTCAGATTGCAGTTTCTCATAGAGGTGGGATTTTTTGTACTTTGCAAGATTACAATCCCGATAAAACGTGGTGGGGAGCTGTCCTGTTTGATTTTCTAATTTTGTAGCATTTAGAAATGTAGGCAGAATATAGTGTTCTTTTCACTCAGATAACTGATGTCCATCGGTTGGGACAAACTTTTTTTTTTTTGCATTTAAGTTTTTTCTCAGGAAAAAACAGTAAATCTGCTCTTCTCCTGCACTGTCCCTTTGAAGCCCCAAGGCACTGTACCTAACCCCTCCCTCAGAGCGAATATCCAAGCCTCTAGTGCGGGTGGAGTCTCTATCTGGGTTCCCATACAAATGTGCTAAATGCGGTTATTTTATCTTGCTAATCTCAGATCTATCTGATTAGACCAGAGAGAAGTCTGCCAACCTTTATTTAGCATATTCTAATATGCTGGCTCAAAGATTGCTGTTCTACCGGTAGTAGGATGGAGTTTAGAAAAGCATCGCTTAGTAGTCCAGCTGAGGCATGGTGCCTGCAGAGGGTGATTAGGCAAAAGGAGACCTATGGGGACTACCCATACATTAGTACACTGAGACTTAGTACAGAGACTAGAAATGGGTTCAAGGGTGAGGGCATCACCTCATAGGAGGGCTATAAAAAACCCAGTGTAGCTAGCATTTGAACATATGGTGTCACAGGAAGGGGCTGGCTTTTTTCCTTGCCAGTTCACCCCTGCTGTTCCCTAGATTCCTAATGTTCCCTCTTCTGCCCATGGGGCCTGTGCAACAGGCAGGCTGTGTGGGGGATTCATGTTCAAAACATGCTCAGAAAGAATTAGATCATAGATGTAGACAGTGACGTGAAGAACAGGCACTCTTTGGACGTGCAGATCGCTGTGGGTTACAAGCGAGGAGCCTTTGTTTGGTGAAAATCCGCTTTATTTTTCAGCGTCCCTCCAGGCTGTGGGAACAGTTCGCATGTACAAACAGGATAGTGCTGCTGGGCCGGTGAGAGGAAAAGCCTCTGGCCAGGTGGGAGGAAGGTGAAAGTAACACACACGCAGACACTGGGACTTTTTCAGAATCTGTGACCGGAGGCGATGTGTTCTAAGCCTGTTTCCTGGGCTGTCCTCGGATTGGAGATCGCTCCTGTTACCACTGTAATCAGCGGTGTGGCCCTTATGGGCCACGTGAGACCACACTGGCCTGGGCTAAGGAGAAGGCCACACATCTGAGGTGCTTTGAGGATCTGGACTTGGCTCAGTGAGCTACGCTGGGTTTGCTCAGCCCGGGCCCAAAGCCAGACAGCTTGGCAGGCCTGTGATACCACACCCAAACCTCAGGTAGAGGGGAGCCGAGCGGTGGGGATCAGCACCTATTGTGGAGTGAGGAAGCCAACGCTTCAATTGTGCGTGTAATTTAAACCAGGTTCTGCCCCAGTGAAAAAGCTCTGAACTCCTGTTACCTGTTCCTCCCAACCTGTTTTTTACATTTCTCCTTGTTTTGACAGGCCTCTAAGTAATCCACAGGCGGTGCCTCTAGTCCCAACATGCCATAGGACCGTCATCACCCCAAGCTAAAAGCCAGCTCTCCCAGGGCTCTGCTTTCCTCCCAGTGTGAGCTTCCCTCCTCCCAGGACCCCCAAGGCTCAATCTGCCTGGGGTGGGTGCTGCGGACTGAATGGTGAGGGTGCGGGGAGTGGAGGGTGTGAATGCTGATGCCAAGTTCTGCAGTTAGCGAGACTCCTCAGGCACACTCCTGTTTGCTCTCTGGAGATGGGTTAAACTTCCTTTTTTAAAAAGCAGATTTTAAAAATGGCATCTCAGTACTGAACTAAGATCATCTAAATCCCTACCTGGTCTCCGGCAGAGAGAGATCCTAGAACAGAATTGACAGCAAGACGCCTAATGGCAGCACCAGATGGTCCCATGACCACGGACTTCTGTTTACTTCCTATTTCTGGTTTAGAACTAGGAAGCGATGACTTTGAACCCTGCTGCTCCTGCTCAGAGGTAACACTGTACAAAACCTGCGTTAAGGACATTTCTTGCCTTTATGGTCAGCCCTGTGTCTCCCTCCTGACTGGCGTCTCCCCACTCGGAAACTTGTGCTCAAGTATTAGGCTTGGCGTCACAGGTCGGGGAAGCAGATAATCCCTCGGGCCCCATTTGTCTCTGAGGAGGAGAGCAAGTTGCCCCGTCTGCTCATTTGCTTGTGGAGCAAGAAGTGGACTCCCTGTCCGAGGAATGTCTCACTCCTTGGGTGCTGGTGAGAAGAGGTGGACAGCTGAAGGAAGTTTTAATGCCAGGAACTCTCCGCTGGCATTTTGGTAGGACCTAGGACCTGAGGCTCCCTTGGGACTCTGGATGGAACATGGACCAACATCAGTAGAGGCAGGATCCTTCGGGGCCAGAGGCCTCCCACACCACAGCCCGGCCTTTGCCCCGTGTGCTTCTGAAAGTGGAGAAATCGCTTCTCCAGGAACCGAGGCCCGTGGGGGTCACGGGCTTCTCGGCCCTAAAGCGAGTGGAGCCCCCAGCGCTGCATGAGGCTGGCCCCAGAGTTCTCAGCACGATGCTTCCTTTCCAACCCTGCTCCACCTCCCTCCACCCTCCGAACCTGAGGTTTGCACACGAGGGTGCAGTACACCAGTCAGATGAGCTCGCCCCTTTCCTGGTGGGATTTCATTGCTAAACCGCCTGATTTCCGGGCTCTGTTGGGTCCTCCCTATTCTCACACCTTCGCCACTCCCTCTTTTGCTCACCAACCCCCAACATCAGACACTAGAAAAAATGAATTCACACCCTGCCCTTCAGCTCCATCCTCCTCCAGGGGCTTGCATGTTCCCCTCCCTCTTTGGGTCCTAAATCTGCCCAGAAGGGAGAGGGGAGGGGTTTGAGCCAGAGCCTTGATCTCAAACCCACCCCCGCTGGCTGTTAGGATTGTAGTGGCGCTCCCTGGGGCTTCCTTCTGCTTTGGCTCCGGAGGTTCCTCTCCCAGGAGGGGGCTGCCGTTATTGGTGAAGATAGGCATCTAGCCAGAGTTGCCCTGACTCCTTCAGTGAGCTGTGGGAGAAGATGGAAGAGGGAGCAGGCAGTGAGGGGACAGGGCAGTGCCGAGCCCCAAAGCCAACCACCCACCAGGAAGGTAAGGTCTGGGCGCTGAGGCCCGGGAGCTGTCACATGGCTCGAGGCCCCTCCCTCCATGTGGACTCTTCCCCTTCATCCGAGTAGGAGCTTGGGCCACACGTGGAGAGTGGAGGACTGAGTTGGCCACAACGGAGCGCCCTGCTCTGGCCTTGGTGAGCTCCATTCCATGGGGGAAGCCTTCTATCCCTCCAGCCACCCTTCGCCCGCCCCGCTTCCCTCCCCACCAGCCACCTCCCAGGCTCATACTCACTGCACAATGTCTGCGAAGGCCGTGAGCAGGGGCTTGGACTGGTACTCGATGCCGTGCTTGGCGCACAGGGAGCGCACCAGGGGGGCCACTTTGTGGTAATTGTGTCGCGGCATCGTGGGAAAGAGGCTTCGAAAAAACAGACCGTCAGGGCTTCTGCTCCTCGCTCCCCCACCCCCTCCCCCACCCCCACCATGGACCCAGCCCTGCTTCCAGTTGACTCACTGGTGTTCGATCTGGAAGTTGAGGTGCCCGCTGAACCAGTCATTGAAGGCCGACTCGTGCACATTGCACGTCGCCTGGAGCTGGAGGAAGAGCGGGGAGGCATGCTCGGTACCAGTGCGGAGGCCGGTCCAGGCCTCAGGCCACGCTGTCCGAGCGGAGGAGCTGGGGGCTGTGCCCGGTCACTGCCTCTCCGCGTGGTGACAGGGGAAGCGTCACTGATGAGGTGATGCTGCCGGGGGCTTGTGTGGTCACTGCTCCCTGCCCCGCGTCTGCCCACCCACTTGTTCTGAGTCGTGTCCGGCCTCCTTCTTCCAGGCCGCCGTCCCTCACCTGGGTGGAGACCCAGTCCTTGTTCTGGTCGTAGTCAATGTGCATGGGGATATGGTTCATCTGCGTCACCCACACAAACCAGTTGCTCTCCAGGAACCTGGAGGTGTAACACACAAACAGCACACAGAGCTGAGTCCCCTCCCTCAGGAACTGCTCCAGCCTGGCCTCCTTCCCAGGCCCACACCAGAAATACCTCCCACCCCAGACTGGTTACCCCAAACATCTCCGCCAGCCCCTCTCCCCAACCCCACACACACACCCCCTACCTGACCATGAAGAACAGGCCCAGGAGGCCCTTCACCCCCAGCAGGGGCGTGTAGGTGAGGGCGATGCGGACGTAGAAGGTGATCATCCAGGCCAGGTCCTGCAGAGAACAGAGCGTGACGCCGGGCACAGGGCGCTCCCTCCTCTTCCTCGCCGGGCCTGTGTGCCCCTCTCCCTGGGACCCACACTTAGTAATTGTCTGTCCCTCCCAAGTGCCCAGTCCTGCAGGGTCTAATGCCATGGCTCCTTCCTCCCATTCCTAGAGGCACCCCGGCCCTCCCTGCACCCACATCTGTCTGTCCCCCAAAGGGACAAGGGACGCGACAGAGCCTTTCTGACGCCCCTGACCTCTGACCTAGCCGAGTGTGGTCGGGGCCCTTTTGGAACCTCAGGATCCGAGAATCTCCTCCGCCTGAACCTCACCCCGGTGCCAACCACATCCTCCACCTGCTTCGTTAAGACATTTCCTGGGAGAAGGTGCCGTCTCTCACTGTCTTGCCCACTCCCCAGCCTGCCCCTGGCCAAGCCCAGCAAAGAACCTCAGGAGACACTACTGACGGGAACAGGGCAGGGGGCGTCTGAGTCACCCCACCTACAGATAAGGGGAAACTACACCTGGTTCTGCTCTCAGTCCTGCCTGGAGGGAAGCTCAGTGGTTCCCCTGGAGAGCCCTGCCCCACCCTCAGGGAACTGGGGACAAAGGGCACGGGGCTCGTGGGCCAGGATACTCACCACCCACTTCTTCCGCTGGATGACGAAGTAGAAGATGTACCACTGGAAGTAGAGAGGCAGCAGGGCTGGGGGCCCAACTGGGGAGGAAATGGAGACGGGGAGGAGGTGTGAGCAGTGAGGGGCCCTGAAGGGCTGGCCTCTGGCATCTCCTCCTGTTGCCCTGCTGCCTTGGCACTCCTCCTCCATGGAACCAGCGGGCACTGGAGGTGCCGTGAATGCAAGTCTGCAGAGGCAGTCAGTCTCCCAAGAGGATGCCAGCAGGGGAGGGTGGCAACCTTCCAGCGGAAGGCGGCAGCTAGGGAACTGCTCTGCTCCTTTCAAAGGGCCAGGCTGACACTCCCCCGTTGTCCTGGCTACAGCCCTGCCCACGCCGGGCCTTCCTCCTGACCCTATGCCTGTCCTTGCCATCAGCTGCCCTGTGCACCTGGCTGCTCCAACATGGAAGGGGCAGGAGGGAGAGGGAGAGGGAGAGGGAGAGGGAGAGGGAGGGAGGGAGAGGGAGAGGGAGAGGGAGGGAGGGAGGGAGGGAGGGAGAGAGAGAGAGAGAGAGAGAGAGAGAGAGAGAGAGAGGGAAGGAGGACGGGGGTATGGGCTAGAAGCTCACTCCCACCCAACCCAAAGCCCAGTGGTCACTGTGGGAAGAGGTGAACACTGGGGGCTGAGGAGGTGGACAGTGTCCCATGTGCTGCCCCTTCTCTGCAGAAGCCCCATCCCTGTGCCTGCCCACGGCTCCACCACCCTGAGGTGTCCTGCCTTCCACCATCCTTTCTTCCGGACAGTTCTGCTCCACCCTCTACCCCAGCCCTTCCCCCAGCAGGGAGGGCCAGTAGCTGGCAGTTGGGGGAAGTTCCTTTAAACACTCCAACTGTAAGCGCTAGGGAGCAGTTTTAAAACAGGGAACGTAGTCTTCAGAAAGAGCTTAAGACGACGACAGAAGGCTCCTCCTTTTTCCAGCAGCTCCTCCAATCCCTCTTCCGGTCCAAACCTCCTTAGCTACCTCCACAAGTCTCTGGGGGTGGGACTACATCAGGCTCACAGGGCCGCCCCTTAGCGGAGACGGCAGACTGCTCCCAGGCAGACTGCTCCCAAGCCGGGAGTAACCTGCTGGGGGGGTGTTCCCTCCAGCCTTTACCTGAAATACCAGGATCCTTTCCTCCTCTCCTCACACCCCTTCAGCCCCCACCCGCACCCCGCACCCCTCCCCGGAGTCTCCTGGTGCTGATGGGGGCACTCACTCAGGAAGAAGTATTTGTGCTGGTGGTTGTATGGCATGTACTTTTTCTTCTGTTTCCCAAGCTGCGAAGAAAAGCAAACACAGCTCATCACCCGAGACCAGTCACCATTCCCCTCCCGCTTTGACCTTGGCTCAGCTCAGGCTTTCCCCAGGGCTGCTGCTGCTGGACAGATGGCTCCAGCAGGCCCAGTCTGACCTCCAGCACCGGCACGTGAAGCCAGCTCATGGCCATGGGAGATGCGTACACAACTGTGTCTTCAAGTCCTCAGGACCCCTCATGTTTACTCAAAGACAGCTTCGTGGTGAGGTTTCCAGCCCCTCCTTCCCCCCCCCCCCCCCCACCCATACTGTGTTGACACCAGTCTCCTACAGTCAGTATTCCCTTTACATTCAGCCCCTGGCATTTCCCATCACAATCTTTTGAGCTTTCTAAAACCCCTTGAAAGCTAAGCAGAGTTTGGCAAATATTTATGGCCAGGGAACCAAGAACAACTTGGCATTCTGAAGAGGCTGGGAAAGTTTTTCCCAGCGGGTGGTGGTGGTTTTGTAAGCCTAGCTGCCGAAGAGGTAAGCTGGGCCGCCAGGACAGCCAACCAGCGTGGAACCCCTGGCACAACAGCAAAGCCCTGCCGTCTCCCTTGGTGGCTCCTCTGCTCCTCCTGCCCCACTTAGTTATGGCAACCAGACAGCCAGGGGCGGGAGAGGCACTCCATCCGGAGCACAATGCCTGTTCCTTCTCCTTTCACGTCTCCCCGCTGCTGTGACAGGTCGTCTACTGAGTTATTCTCTGCAAGGCACTTCTGCTAAAGGATTCATTCATTCGACAAGCATTTATTGAGCACCTACTGTGTGCCAGGCGCTGTTCCAGGTGCTGAGGATACAGAGGTGAACCGTACAAAATCCCTACCCTCGTGGAATTTGTAACCTGTCAGGAAGCCGGCGATAAGTCTGCAGTTATAGATTCAAAACAAGAAAACCTAAGAGAACGTGAGGGAGGCAGTGTTTTGGCAGGGGTGGTCAGAAATGGCCTCCCTGAACTGAGAACTGAGTAACGAGAAGGAGGCAGCAATGCGAAGCTTCAGGGGAAGAGCATTTATAACCGAAAGAACAGCCAGTACAAAGGCTTAGGATAATCCAGGGACAGAAAGATCCCGTGTCTGGGAACAGTAAGCAGCAGGGGAGAATGGTTAGGCCAGAAAACTAGCTATGGGTGGCCAGATCATGCCGGACCTTAGAAAGCCCTGGTCAGGTTGGCTTTTATTCCCATGGTGATGGGAAGTCGCTAGGGAGCTTTCGGTGGGTGTGGCAAGAGCCATTTTGTGCTTTAAAAGGCTCTCTGGCTGCCTGGGGAGAATGAGTTATTTGCAGGAGGGTCAGGTATAGTCACAAGGAGACCAGCGAGGGAGCCTAGAGAACTGCGGCTCTCAAGCCACATGTGGCTCTTTGGCCCCTTGAGTGTGGCTCTTCCACAAAATACCATGGCCTGGAAGAGTCTGTTTTGAAAAAGTGGTGTTAGAGAAGAAGTTTAAAAAAATTGGCTCTCAAAAGAAATTTTAATCGTTGTGCTGTTGATATTTGGCTCTGTTGACTAATGAGTTTGCCGACCACTGCACTAGAACAATAATCTAGACCCCAAATGACCAGACCTGGGGAGGGGAAGCCATGGAGCTGGAGAAATCAATGTAGATCTGAGGTCTGTTTTGAAAGCAGTATTAACAAGGCTTGTTGAGCCCTGCTGGTATGGCTCAGTGGTTGAGCGTCAACCTATGACCAGGTCACAGTTCCATTCCTGGTCAGGGCACATGCCTGGGTTTCAGGCTCAATCCCCAGTATGGGGCGTGCAGGAGGCAGCTGATCCATGATTCTCTCACACCACTGATGTTTCTATCTCTCCCTCTCCCTTCCTCTCTGAATCAATAAAAATATATTTTAAAAGAAAACAAGGCTTGCTGAAATGGGGATGAAGGTTATCTCGCCCCAAGCATCACTAGCTGAGAGAGGAAATGGAAGAGCGTGTCTCATTGGCTGGTGGGTGGGACAGTTATGGAAGGGAGGCCTGTCCATTATGGTCCTAATCGCTGCCCCCTTGTGCTTTGACCTTGGGAAGCCAGAGGGTCCTATTAGGGTGAGTGTCCTCTCTTGTCCTCCAGGAGAGCTGGGAGGCAGAGGCGGGTCAGTACGGGGATCAGTGCCCAGGTAAACCACTCCCAGAGAAGGTGGCCCACCAGCAGCCGGGAGCCGGGCATTTATTAGCATACTAGCGGGCAGCCTGTCTTCAGCCTCATAAGTAGGCCAAAAAAAGGGGGTGGTATTTTGGTCCCAGATCATTCTCTAGTCTCGGTGTCTATGGACAGGAATCTCCTCACATCCTAGAGCCAAGAAGCAGTATGGCGGTGGAGTGAGAGGATCCCTTCCACGGAGGCTCCCACGTTGTTTAAGCGTGAAGTGCTGCCCAGAGCTCCATGCTCTGCCCGATAAAGGAGCCACACTGCCCCAAAGTGTCCACCCGAGCCCCAAGGGGCCAGGGCGGGGTCCACGTCCCCTCACTGTTGACTGGAACGCAGTGGTGGACAGGCATCAATCCACATGTGTACCGTGGGAGTTAGGACGTTACGGGCCGTGAGACACAAGCTTCAAGCTCGAGGCTCCTGGTGCCAGGCCAGCCAGTGCTGCCAGCAGCTTTCCACAGAGTTCTTCTCAGGCCACGCTGAACTCATGCCTGGGACCGGACGGGTCAGCAGCCGTTTAATTCCAGGCAGGCTGCAGCCGGGAGACTTGGGGCGGAGGGTTTTACATTCACTGCTTGTATTTCAAATCCCCACTCAACTGATCGATTTTTAGAGATAGAAATGGAGAAACATTGTTCGCTTGTCTCCCATGCACGCCCCAATTGGGGATGGAACCCCCGCACCCCTTGGTGTATAGGACAATGCTCCAACCACTGAGCCCCCCGGCCAGGGCCACATTAGCCTTTTAAAGAACTCTGCTGGCCGCAGATGGCAACTCAAACCCAACACTGCCCACCCTGGAAGTGAGACCGGGCGGGAGGAATTATTTGGTGAATGAATGTTCCAAGCACTGGGTGTCACAGGAGAGGAGACGGTCATGGCCTTGATGGGGAATCTGTGACACAGTAGGATATAAAGTACGAGAGAGGCATCGAGCGAGGCGCCGAGGGGAGGGCTGCTGCCTGGGGCGGGACTGTCAGGAAAAAAACCTCCGACGAGGACCGTCCCTCACTCCCAGGGACAGGCGGGGTGTCTGCACAGTGGTCCCGGTGACCCTTTGGGTCCTCAGCAGCATGCGGCACCTGTACACAGTAACCACTCTGCCGGTCTGAACTCACTCGGGAGAACAGGTGGTTCTGTGCTGGGCAGCCCGCGGCCGTCTGTCGCCTCCCACAACTTCCAGGCAGCCAGCCAGTGTCATCCTCCCCTGGCAGCCCTGAGCATTGCCCCAGCCCTCGGGGCTGGCAGGTGTCCATTCTCCCAGACCTCCCCGCGCGCCTCTGCTCACCTCCACGGAGAGGATCTTCCCCAGGGCAAAGAAGAAGGGGTGCATGTTGATGTCTGGGTCTTTGCGGAAGCAGTTGGGCTTGGCGTGGTGCTGGAAGTGCAAGTGGTTCCACCAGCTGGCGGGGGCCCCCTACAGAAAAGCAGGGGCATGGGTATGAAGGCCTAACCCTCCCCCTCCCGCCCCCCTGCCCCCCAGGCAGTCCTTCATTAGCCAGTTTCAGAAAGCCCCGCCCCGTGTCACTGACCTTCAGGTGGCCCACCACGAAATGATGGAGCAGGTGGTTCCACGTAGAGGTGCTGAAGACAGACAGGTGCCCAAAGTCGTGCTGCAGCCAGCCGGCCTGGGCCTGGATGAGAGAGGTCAGTGCTGAGCCCGGCGTCCCTCCCTGGCCTTCAGTCTCTCAACCTCAGCCACCGAGCTCTCACGGAGCTCTCCAGGAGAGGAGCTGGCTGTGGCACCAACGCACGGGAAAGCTGGATCCACGCACATTTCCTCCCCTGCCCGTTAGCTCCCCTGGCCGGGAGACCTAGACATACCATGGGCTGGCACCCAGGCCACAGAGAAGGACAGTGACACACTCAGGGGCCTGGCAAATGCATCCAGGCAGCGAGTGTTGGAGCCCACGCTTTATCAGCACGCTGGGCCGCCTGGTGCCCGGGAGGACACCGAACTTTGCTGATAAAGCAGATCGTGGTTCTTGGCACCCTCAGGCCGTGGCAGAACCTGAGCAGGAATTTCCCGAGGAGAAATTCCACAGGAGGAAGGGAGCCCTAGCCCTGACCGGTTTGGCTCGATGGATAGAGCGCCGGCCTGCGGACTGAAGGGTCCCAGGTTCGATTCTGGTCAAGGGCATGCATGCACCTTGGTTGCGGGCACATTCAGGAGGCAGTTGATCGATGTGTCTAGCTCTCTCTCCCTCTCCGCAAAAAAATCAATAAAATAATGTAAAAAAAAAAAAAAAGTGGGGGGGGGGGAGCTCTGGGAGCAGCAGCTGGAGCGGCAGGGAGAGGCATGAAGGTGCACAGCGACCAGCGAACAGACGAAAGCCACAGATAACGGTGCGCGTGCTGTTTTTCCACCGACTCTCCCGCGTGTCCTCAGCTCTGCCCATCGGAGGGGGCCCTGACCTCCTGAGGGTAAGTTTCCCCGAGGGATGCTGGGCATGGCGATGCTCTTTTATTTTATTTTATTTTTTATGTTTCTGTTGATTTCAGAGAGGAAGGGAGAGGGAGAGAGAAACATGAGTGATGAGAATCACTGATCACTGATCGGCTGCCTCCTGCACGCCGCCTACTGGGAATCAAGCCCGAAACCCGGGCAAGTGCGCTTGACAGAAATCGAACCAGGACCCTGCAGTCCGCAGGCCAACACTCTACCCACCGAGCCAAGCTGGCCGGGGCCGGCGTGCTCCTGCCGCGCCGAGGGCCTCACCTGCACCGCGCTGAGCAGCACCGCACAGAGGACGAAGGGCACAAGGGACGTCCCGAAGGCCCACAGCGTGAGCCAGGCGGCCGCGTCCAGCAGCAGGATGTGCAGCAGGTGCAGCAGGAAGAAGGCGTGGTTGGCCTTCATGAGCCCCATCCGCTCCACGGCGGCCCGCAGCTCCCGGAACTCCTCGGTCAGCTCTTTCTGAGGAAGCGGGAAGCGGGAAGCTGCTATTCTCCAGCTGCACGTGACCCTGCTGGCGGCCAGGGCCTCGTAGGCTCAAGGACACAACCCCTTCCCCGCACCTGGGTAACTATCTTCCCTAAAAACACCATCGGCCAGGGAGGACGGCGGGAGGAGGGGCTATGGGGTCACGCCCAAGAGCACGTGGTCACTGGCACTCAGACTGGATTCCGGGCCCTGAGCTGCCTCTGCCAGCGTGTGACCGACCCTTGGCCATGCTGCTTAGCTTATGCAGCCCAGTCTTCTCATCTGTAAGTGCGTGAGGGCCATAGGAAGTTATGCTTGGCACACAGTAGGTGCTCAGAATCGATTTCATGTTGATGACTATGGTCAGGGTGGTGGCCCTGTGAGACACTGCCTCAGCAGAACCAGGGACCTTAAGATCCCCAGGAACTACTGACCGTTACCCATGACCCTGTCCAGGCCTGCCTTCTCCCTCTGCCCCTCCACAAGCACGGGGTCTCCCCACAGCAAGCAGGGCCTCACATTCTTCGTGGGCTCGAAGCTGGGCTGCTCCGGAGACAGCTCCCCAATCAGGAGCGAGTTCATGTACTTCCTCACGAGGCCCTTGTTGATGTGGAATGCCACAAAGGGGTCCTGCAAAGATGGGGAGAAGGCGGGGCCGTGAGGAAGCCGGGCTGGCCCCCTGGGACTTTGAAGGGCTCCCAACCAAGGTCAGCAAGGAGGCTGCACCGAAGTTCAAACAGACACCACCTGCCCCCCCTTCCCCGCCAGCTGCCCTCTGACGGTGCTCACACCTAGTCTAGGTGTCTACAGCTCCCAGCACCTGTAGTTAGTGAGAAAGGCACCACACCAACCAACAGGAGGTCCGGGTGGGGCCACAGAAAGACCTCTTTGCCCAGGCATTTCCAGGAACAGCTGTCCCACGGGACTTGGGAGTGGATGAGAAACAGAGGGATGCCTGGGGCTAGGACACCTCTGTGGGACTTCAGCCCGGCTCCAGAAAATGAGATCGCATTTCCCCTCCTCCCTTTCATTTGGCTTCCATGTTACCCCCCCACCACCACCACCACCACCCCCCCGCGGCTAATTTTGGTGATTGGAGCTGGGGTCCTTGGTGGTAAGATCCACCGGGAAGCCTCGAGGCTGTGGGGGAATCCACTGGAGAGGCGGGAACCAGGGCGGAGCCGGCGGGTGGCACCACGCGGCCAGACCAATCGCCGGCCCAGCAAGGCAGCCCGAGCCCCAAATCACCCAGCGGGCCCGGCGGGATCGCCCGCTCCTGCGCATGCGTGGGCTCGGCCTCGGCCGGCGGCCAAGGTGTGGGCTCCCCGGGACACTCCGGGTGGGAGCGCAGACCGGCCTTGTCCCCTGGCGGGCTGTGAGGGAAGGCGGGCCCTCACCTGGGAGCGCCTGTGCTCGGCTTGGCCACAATGGAGACGCCGATGGCAAGCGGGGAGGGGGGATAGCAAAGGGTGCAGCCGCTTAGGCCAAAGGGGGAAGGATGGAGGGGACCGGGACAGGCGAAGCGCACGCTCCAACCTCTGGTCCTCAAGGGTGACCCCCAGCTCCTCAGCCCGGCAGGGAGGCGCCGGGTGCCTGAGCGCCGGGCGGTAGAAGGGGCCGCGGAGGCCGGGCCGGGCGCGCTGACCCCGCTGTGCAGCGACGCAGGATGCGGCTGGGAACACACAAAGCATCCGCCTGCGGCCGAGCGGCCACGGATCCGCAGGCCGTTACGGGGTGCACACCAAGTACATGTTGATGTACCCACTCCCCCACCTTCAGCTCGCCACCCCCCAGGGCACAGGCAGCCGCTAGCACGCTCCGGCGGCGCGGCCCCTTCCCCGCCCTCCCGCTGCACCCAAGACGGCGGCGCCGGTGGATCCGGCCCGGGCCTTTTCCCAGACCGTTCCCTCTCCTGCGCCCGCTCGCAGGGTGGCCCAGCACACTCAGCCCCTTCCCGGCTCCGCCGACAGCCCTGCCGCCATCCCGCCCGCCGCCCGCCCCGGGCCGCCGCCGCCCCGCCGCCCCGCCGCCCGGCATCCGCCCGCAGCCGTTCCCAGCCCCGCTCCGGCCGGCGGCCTTTGTGTGATGCGAGCGGTCGGCCTCCACCCACTGGTGTTCGCAGCCCCTCCTCCGGGTGCACCCGAGTGCACAGCACGCCCCGTCCCTCGGCTTCCCCCCCTCCCCCCCGAATTAGTCGGTGTTCAGTCCTGGAAGCCAAACTTCCGTCCCGCGCACTGCACCCCCGGCCGCGGCCGCGCGCCCCGCCTCCCCCCCGGTCGCGGCGGCCGGCTCACCGTCGCATCCTGCCCGGCGTAGTGGCTCATGACCCGGGAGCCGCCGGGGTGCCGGCGGGTGAACTCGCTGACGTTGTACACCTTCCGCTCGATCACCAGCCACCGCTCCTGGCCGCGCCCGCAGCGCTGCGCCACCTCGTCCCACGTGAAGTAGCGCGGCGCCGGCCGCGGGGCCGGGGTCTCGGGGGCCATGGGGCCGGAGGAGCCGGGCGCGCGCTCCGATGCCCGCGGACGGCGCTCCGGCCTCGCGCTGGGAGATCGGGTCCGCGGCGCGCGCCCGAGCCTGCTCCCCGGGCGCCGCGCCGGGTTTTCAGCTCCCGCGGCCCGACGGCCGGGCCGCTGCGCGCGCTCCCATTGGCCGAGCCGCGTGGCGCGGAGCGAGCCCCCGCCTCGCCGCGGGGCGGGCGGTACAGGCCTGGGGCGGGGGCCGGCGCGGACGCGCGCCCCCTGGCGGCTCGGGGCGGGGGAGTGCGGATCCGCTGCCCAAAATGTGGCTTGGTCCCCAGGAGGCGCCGCGAGCGGTATAACGGTTCCGGTGCCGCCTCCTGGGCAGGGCGGCCCTGGGCTCCAGGGCGGGAGTGGGTTCCGCCAGCGGTCAGGGGCGGGGCGGCGGGGCGGGACCGGGAGGGAGGCTGTGAGTCAGGCCGCTTAGGGAGCTCGGGAAGGCGGTAGAGAGGAGCTGTCCCTGCAGCCATGGCTGTGTAGGGGCTCAGTCTCGGGAGGGGGAGGAGGGTGATCTTTAGGCCATGAACCTCTCTAGTGTCCGGTGTTATGCCGTGCTTCCTGGGAGCTCTATGACGCCCGGGGCTCGTCCATTTAATTTTGTATGTTTACAGCACACGCCTTCCAGCCAGCCATCCCCAGTGCAGGAGGCAGCGGATCACTGATTCTCTCTCTTCATTGATGTTTCTCTCTCTCCCTTTCTCTGAAGTCAATCAATTATTAAAAAAAAAAAAAGAAGAAGAAGAAGAATGTACACAGTGGTAGTAAAGTAGGATGTTTCTGAGTGGACAGAAGAAGCATATTTTTAAAATATAATTTTTATTGATTTCAGAGAGAGTGGTAGTACCAGAGGTGGGGAGGATGGGGAGATGGGTGATGTTAGTCAAAGGATACAGAATTCTGGTTATGAGACTAATATCTAATGTACAGACGGTGACTATACCAGTAGTTAACAGTACCATCTTGTATATTTGGAAGTGGCCAAGGGAGAGGACCTAAAATGTTCTCATCGTACACGCCCAAAAAGGCGGCCAAGTGAGGTGGTGGATAAGTTCACTGACCTTATTTGCAGTCATCATTTTACAATATTTACAATATGTACACACACCAGATCACCATGTTGTACATCTTAGACGTATACAATGTCATATGTCAAATGCATCAACAAGACAAGAAAAGAATAAGAAAACGGACAACTTGGTTGAAACACAGGCAAAAGACTTTAAGAGACAGCGTGTGAAAAGGAGCTCAACATCACAGGCCGTTGGAGAAAGGACGACTCAAACAACAGGAGCAAAAGTCCGAAACACTGACTGTACCCGAGCCTGGCAAGGGTGTGAGCAGCAGGGATCCCATTCATGGCTGGAGGGAACGCAAAACGGTGCAGTCACTGGCCAGGCATTTGGGCAGCTCCTTACAAAGTCAACACGGTCTCACCACAGCCGAGCTCCTACGTATTTGCCCAACTGAATTGAAAACTTCTGTCCACGCACAAACCTGCCACCACTGTTTACACAGTTAAAACCAGTGTTTGGCTTTGCTCACCAGCACCAACAACCTAAAGCAGCCAAGGTGTTCTTCACAGGTGGATGGACAAACGGACTCATATCCAGACAACCTTTTGTTTGTTTGTTTGTTTGTTTGTTTTCTGTGCTAAAAGGAATGAGCTGTCAAGCCTCACAGAGGACCCCTGGATGCACACTGCTAAGTGAAAAAAGCCACCTGGGCCGCCGTAACAGGACCATCGACTGGGCAGCGTATGAACGACAGAAATGTATTTCTCCTAGTTCTGGGGGCCGGGAAGTCCAAGATCAAGGCGCTGGCAGGCTAGGTGTCTGCTGAGAGGGTCCACGTCCCAGGCGGCTGTCTTTTCTCTGAACCTCGCCTGTGAGAAAGGTGCGGGGGAGGGCAGGATCTCCATATGTTTCTTTTCTAAGAACCCTAATCACCCTCATGACCTAATCATCCCCAAAGGCCCACATCTAAACACTGTCACGATGGGGATTAGGTCTGTTGGAGCAGGGCACCTTCTCGGAGTGCTTACTCCTAAATCCTGCTCACGGCACTAACTGTGAGAGCGAGTCCCTTCCTCCTTGAGCCCTGCTCGCTGTACAAGTGGTGGAAGCATTCACTCCTCCATTCTGCCGACTGGGCCAAGTGTGGGAGCACAGGTCCTGATCCTGCTGACTTCGCCAGTCGCGGGGCCTGGAGCCCTCTGCCAGGGGCTGGACCTCCTGGGACCTCGTGTATTGCAGGATGGAGAAGCCACGAGAGGTCTCGGATGTCACCTTTTTCGTAGGAGCTAGTGGCCATGTAGCCATTGCTAACATGGAGCCATTGGACAAAGCAGTTCTTCAAAGTAAAGTCCCATACACCGGCCTGTTAACAATACGTCTTTCCCACAAAGTAGAGCAGCCTCTGTGTCCACAGCCATTATCTGAACAGCCACGAACCCGCTGCCTCTGGACCCACAGCCTCTCAGAGTGGCTGTAGCAGAGCCCACTACAGCAGCCTCAGTAGACAAAAGAGGCTTTCCACCAAATAGTAACATCAATCATCTGAGTTACAGAAGGACATGTGTGCACAGTGTACCGTAAGATTGCTGTGTCCTAGCACCTGTGTATAGTCCTTGGATACTCTGATTAAGATTTCCATGCTCAGAGTGGCCTTGGGCATCCGGTGTACTCTGTCGTGGTTCCCATAAGGCCTCAACACATATTCAGGACATAGTATACTGTATGATTCTAATTATATGACATTCTGGAAAAGGCAAGAAAAACCAAAACAAAAACAGAGACAGTAAAAAATCAGTGGTTACAGGGCTTAATAGAGAGGGATGGGTGAATAGGTGGAGCACAGGGCACTTTTAGGGCAGTGAGGCTATTCTGTATGATGCTGTGATGGTGGATGCATGTCATTGCACATGTGTCGAAACCCATAGAGTAGGGGTGTCGAACTCAATCAGAGAAGGGGCCAAAATCTAAAATCCAGCCTAAATCGCGGGTCGAATGGTTTACTGAACAGTCATAAACTGTCATTGTGATGGAAACGCAGCAGAGTGCAGTGATGACAGCGCGGTGCGGGCCACATTGCAAGGCCTGGCGGGACGGATTTGGCCTGCGGGCCTTGTGTTTGACACATGTGCCATAGAGTGTACAATGCTAGGAGTGAACTCTAATGTAAATGATGGGTAGTATTAATGAGTCAATATACGTTCATCAGTAATAATAAATGTACCACTGGTGGGGGGATGCTGATAGGGAGGAGGCTGTGTGTGTGGGGGGATACTTAAAAAAAAAAAAAAAATATATATATATATATATATATATATATATATATATATATATAAAATTGATTTTTTATAGAGAGGAAGAGAGAGAGATAGAGAGTTAGAAACATCGATGAGTGAGAAACATCAATCAGCTGCCTCCTGCACACCTCCCACTGGGGATGTGCCCACAACCCAGGTACATGCCCTCGACTGGAATCAAACCTGGGACCTTTCAGTTCGTAGGCCAACGCTCTATCCACTGAGCCAAAATGGTTAGGGCGGGTTGGGGGTGTGTGTGTGATTTTTTGCTCAATTTTGCTGTGGACCTAAAACTGCTCTACGGAATAAAATGTCATAAAAACAATAATGAAAGAGACCTTAAAAATGGAAAGCCATCTGTTCTGTGGGCTGTAACTCCACCTGAGTCAGAACAATAGCCGATCTGTATCTCCTGCTTTCCAGCCCTCGGGCTTGGAGCAGGTCATGGGACCGATCTAGGGCCGGGTTTGTTTCCTGAGAGAAAATGAAGAGGTGGTCCGATCAGTGGTTCTCGCGCTGTGGCGTTTTTCAAGAAGAAGCAACTTAAACATGAGAACCAGTGTAGGGTTGTGTACTTGTCATTTTGCCAAATAAGCATATTTTTTAGACTCCATCATCTTCTGTTACCATTTTATTATATATATACACACACACACACACACATACACATACACAAACTCATTTTAGTATAAAAAATCAGGCCATGATTTTTAAGTAAAAGGCAGGTTTTTTTTTCAATTGAATAGTCTTAGTTTTATGGAAACTCTACATTTCCCTTTATTTTTCTAATTTTTGCATTAGAAAAATATACCTGGTACCAGTTTGTAGGTCATCACTTGTGTTAGCTAAACCATATCTTCTAACCTAATATTCTGAGACTTTATGCCCAAGTAGGTATGTATTTTTATTGATGAGAGAGAGAGAGAGAGAGAGAGAGAGAGATTGATTTGTTCTTCGACTTATGCATTCATTCATTGGTTGATTTGTGTATGTGCCGGGACTAGGATTGAACCCACAACCTTGGCATGTCAGGACAATGCTCTACCGGCTGATGCACAAGTGATTATGCCACAGAAAGGCTGCAGTAGATACCCTTCGTGCCGGTCTTGCACCAAACAGTGAAGGATAAATGTCAGCGCCAGCGCCTGCCCCATCACGCAGACACATTAACACTAAGAACAACCCTGCAGGGCAGTGTGACAGGGGACACACAGGGGCTTCGCATAGTGAGCCACCTGCCCAGAGTCTCGCTGTCGCAGGCATGCGGGCAGCACCAGGACACAGGCCCTGGCCACCGACTCCAAAGCCCCTGGAGTTTCTGTCCTCTGAGTCTGGTTCTCGCCCAGCACCTTCTTTTCTTCTGGAAGCCACCTGCTACTCTTCTAAAAGCGGCCCCTCCCCCTCCGGACACTCACGGGGATTACCTGCCATCCGTCCCCAGGCCAGAGCTGACTCACTGGGCCTGGGGGTGGTCCGGGCGGGAGTGCCTGTCAGCGCCCTTCCCCCTGAGTTTGAGCTATACGGGGAGATCAGGGTATTGGGTGCCGTTACAACCAGGATTAAGACCAAGGACAGCTGTTCTCAGCAGTTCGTCCACCCCGCTGGTCTGCAGAGAGAGCCAGAGGAGGGAGTGCCTGGAGCCTTCAAGGCCCTGGACCCATTAGTTCCCCAGGCCCTTCAGCCCCACCTCCCGGGGTGAGGTGACCCCACTTTTCCTGGAATTTCGCAACAAGCCCCTCCTTTGCCCTGGGCCAGCTGTTCCTGAATTCCATGAGGAGGCAACAAGCCCC